TAATTTAACTTGGATGTTTATTTGGGTCCATAAAATGAGTCACACATGATTCACTTGTCACTTCAAGTATGTTTTAAATCAAAAATCCGAGAAACTCGTTTTGAAAATTTTTCTTAGACATAAATCTCGGTGCTAAACAAGATCGTAACACCAAAGGTGTTACACTATGGTACCTTCAAATAATCGTGGACCGTCGATCTTGATGGCTATAATCAAATATTACCTCCTAAGAGGTAATAAGATAAATATATATATTTTATTTTGAGAAATAGGAAAGTAAGCAAACTTTTATGTATAATATCTATCAATTGGATTTAACGTACATGCAACCGCATGCGTTTGTATGGTTGGTTCCATTTCTTTTTCAAGTTCTAACGTGACATGTGATGATTTTTTAATTAATTGACTTATGTGAAGTTGCAATTGATGTCAAGGTTATTTGTATCTAAAAACGTCAGCTGTACTTTTTTTGTACGGATGTAACAAAAGTAGATGTGTGTTTTAGTTGTTTATTTAAATAAATTGGAACTTGTTGGCATTTAAATTATTTATTTATTTATTTTTATAATCCTGACATTAGTATTTTTATGACTTAGTATATTGCAAGTGTATGGTGGTAACATTAGTATTTTTATAATTCCGACATTGGCATTTTTATAATCAGTCATTAGCTTTTGACACTTATTTATTAGATTTATACCATCAGATGTGTTCATGTACGTGATGTACCTCCACGGTGCCACGTCTGGCACGGGCACGAGGCCGCTACACCAGTTTGGAATATGGCGCTGTTGCATGCGTATATGCTCATGCTGTACACGCGTGCACCCATATGGCAAGAAACAAGCTTTGAAACAGAATATCGTGTACACATTTGTTAGTTTGTTGCCTTTTTTGTTTTATTTTTACTAAATATTTTAATTAATTAGTAATTACTTAATTATTGCATGCACTTAAAAAATCAAGGGCTAAGATTTATTTGAGATCTTACCTCCTATGGAGTAATAGTTGTACCTTAGCAAGGCCCCATATGTATAGTTATATTATATAGGAACACACACTGAAAGGCTCTTCATTTACACTGCACTGTTTTTCTAGGGCACCAGTTCTGCAAACAAAGAGAATGATCTGCAGTTCGGTTCTCACTGAGCCAACATTTCTAGAGCACCAGTTCTGCAAACAAAGAGAATTATCTGTAGTTCGGTTCTTACTGAGCCAAAAATTGATTCTGTCTAGTTCTTCAACAATCGTCCTGTTCGATTGGTTTATAAGTCGTACTTTTTCAACCAACGAACAATATTTTTCTCTCATAACAAATCAGTTAATAGTACTTTTAGCTGTGGCTTATCACCCAAGTGAACAGAGCAATATTTAGCTGTCTGCTCAAAGATGCCGGAACGAAGCAGCAGCAGTTGGCAGAGCAGAACACCTTCAGAACAGAATGGATTAAAAGCAACTTAATCTTTGATTTGAGATTTGGATGGGGTGTGCCAGGCCCTGCCAGCAGTGCAACGGCTGGGCGACACGGGAAGACCCCAGTGGCAAGCCACTGTGATGGACCCATCCCAAAAAAAATAAATTTAATATCAAAATGGGCACATGGCTCATATATCTGTACCAAATAATAAAGAGATAAAATTTCGGTATATTTTTTTGTCCATCTACCTCTAACTAATAGATAATGATGAGTTTCTTCCGTCCGGACTTTTATATATATATATATATATATATATATATATATATATATATATATATATATATATATAACCCTTGCTCGTACGAATTAAAATAGCTCTTGTCTAGCACGATACGAAGTCCGATTCCAAAACGTATTGGGTCATGTATGTGACTAGACTCATAAGCCCTGTGCTCACATGTGTCTCTACTCTTTTCCGATCCCAATGCGTTGTCCGTATTTCCTGTGCATAAAAAAACTCTTAAGAGTTTCTTTTTACAACACCAAAAAAAAATCTAGAGTTACCCGTTATCTACGTCCCTCAAGAGGCCTTTTTCTTTATCCGTCGTTTTTGCCTTTTTCCCACTGGACATGGCATCCGTTTCGGTTCCTGTTTTTATGTACGTCCGTTTTTATTTCCTTTTTTTTTGTTTATCTTCCTTTTTTTCTTCGGTCATCAGACCCATTTCCGTTTCCTGTTTTCATGTACATCCGTTTTTGTTTCTTTTTTTATCTTCTTTTTTTCCGTTCGTGCGCATAGGATGCTTTTCCTTTTTATTTTTTTCTTTTCATCCGTTAGCAACTTCAAAGTACTCCTCTCTTTTTCTGTCTTTTTTTTTTGTGTTTCTTATAAATACTATATATCTATATCTATTATCTATTTCTTTATACTTACATGAAACCGAACAGCGGTGCTCGGAGGAGCAAATCTGGCTTCCCTGTGAGCATGTTTTAGGGGCCTGGAGGAGGGGCGGGAGAAGCCACTATTTTGGCTCCTTCCCATCAAAGCTCTGTGAGAGCACGTTTTTAGGGGCTTCATCGGTGGAGCCGAATTTTTACCCGTTTGGTAAACGGCTCCAAAATGACAGCCCAAGCCATCTTGAGGTATATATCTATATCTATTATCTATTTCTTTATACTTACATGAAACCGAACAGCGGTGCTCGGAGGAGATCTACACCGGGCGTTAAGAAGACGGTGGTGGTCCTCCTCGAGAAGCTAGCAATGACAGCCCATGCCATCTTGAGGTAGAAACATATGCAGCCCGATCGGTAGTACTTTCACCTCTCGTAAAACATATTCATTTGAACCGGCCGAAGATTTCTTTTCTCTCACATAAACGAACCAGCAACGATCTGCGTTGACGACTGCATCATGGCCGGGATTTGTAAGCACGCCCCGGTCTCGACGTCTGCATCCTCGACACGGTCACGCCGACAACTAACAAGTGTGTGGAGATTCATAACAAGAGCGACACGCATCCCTAGGCTCCGCCGATCTTGAGCACGGATGCTGCCATGGACGTTCGCCTCTAGTCTACGCACGACGAGGTCTTGTTGCTGCGCCGAGGGACCATGCTCATTTGTACAAGAGCCTAGAAGCAAGGTGGACGACGCGTGTCGTGGACCTGGTGACATCGAGACGACTACGGATGCCATAAACAATCTACACAAACGACGCTGCCCCACCGAGAAGGCGAGCCCCGACACCATCGACAACAGCTCCACGCGTACACCAACATCACTACACCGGGCGACATCGGGACAACCATTAACGTCATCAGCAATGGCTCCTACGCCCTACGCCAACAATACCGCCGCATCAAGGAGGCGAGCTCGGATGCCATCCATAATGGCTCCACATACATCGACATCGACAACACCGTAAAGACAAGTCCAGACGTCATCGTGGACAGCTCCACATCTACACCGACACACGCCATTCAGCACTAGCTAGACGCAATGCACACATAGCTCCGCATCTACACCAACGACACACGCCATTCATGTGGTCATCGTAAGATAAATTATAGCTTTAAGTCACAAAAAAAAGAATAAATTATAGCTTTTAAAGTTTATAGAAAGGATAAATAACATTCCTCTCTTGTCTCCTATAAATGTTTGATACCCATTTTTTCCTGCCGGGTTATTTTTTCTAGTCAGATATTATTAAACTAATAAAAACAGATACACCTAATCTTAGCCAAAAGGACGAGAAAGGTATGCTTTGGCCTGCCGCCCTGGGTCTCCTTATGTAGCGAGTGCGCGCCTCCGCGTTGCTTGGCTGAGCGAGATGGGACTAAACGAATGAACTAGCTGCGGCTCAGGGTCTGCCAAGGTCGAGCACCCTGGCAATATATTGTAATGGGCTGGGGCCCAACACAGCTGTCATCTTTTCCTTGCTTTAGGCCCACCCGTGGAACAGCGCGCTGGAGCCCAACAACACACTCCATACATCTTCCTTCTCATTTTTTCTCCTCGTTATTATTATCTTTTTCCTTTGTCATGTCAATAGGTGTTTTAGACCCATTTCGAATATCTTATTTTTATATTTTTTAGTATTTTATTAAAAGTATCATGTTAAGTGATATGAATGAATAAAGAAAAATATGTTAGTTATATAGAAAAGTAGAAAAAATGTGTACTCAGCTTTGTGTTGTTGAAGGTAAATAATACATGTTCAGCTTTGTGCCTTAGCCTGTCAAATCGGAAGCATCATCATCTGCAAAGTTACTTGAAATCATAGAGCCAAGCCAACCGAAGCGTCTCCTTCTTGTGTACAGTCGAAACCAAGGCAAAACTTGGCGGAGTATCCTCACCACGTTGATATTTGGAGGATTCCTGCTCGGAAAATCTCCCCCAAAATGTTTTAGTTCAAACTAAGACTTCATTTGTATCTGTCGCGTGCTAGCATTCCACCTCGTGTAGATTTATGTTAATTTGCTGCCTTGTCGAATTGGAATTATGCAACCTGATGCGAACATCAGCGACAGGAACAGGGTGTGTTGGACAATGACCACGCATCGCCAGCTATCAGTTTATTCATTCAACCTGTTCGTTGGATTGGTTTTTGACTGATAAGTTCGGCTGATGGTGGTTTGTTGTGAGAAAAAAATATTATATCATGGCTGATAAGCCATATCTTAAACCAATACGTATATGTGACACGCAAACCATGGATTCAGAAAAAGAAAAAGAAAAAGAAACAATGAGGCGGTGACACGCAAAACACATACGTATATGTGACGGATCCACAGAGCAGCCTACAAAACTGGGCGCATGTGAAACATCTGAACGGCGAGGCAATGTTTGGTCAGGATTCAGGAAACGAGTGCCCTTCGTTCTTCTCTTCCACTGAAACAAAGACAACGTATGAAAAAAAAACCGAAGGCAGCATGAAGCGCTTCCCAAATCCGTATCCAATTGTTCCTCTACCAGGCACGCACTCATACTTGAGTTTCCCAGCGTAGGCACTCCACGTTCACTCACGACCCAACGCAACCGCCGCCGGCGACGCCCGCCGCCTGTTCGACGGAGCGCCGCCCATGGCGAGCGGGGCGGACCGCATCAACGACCTCCCAGAGGGCGTCCTCCACCACATCCTCTCCCTCCTGCCGGCGCAGGACGCGGTGCGCACGTGCGTGCTCGCCCAGAGCTGGCGCCACCACTGGCGGTCCGCGCCCGCCGTGCGCTTCGCCGGCTGCACCGGCTGGGCCGGCGGCGTCTACACGTTCGGCCCCTTCGTCGACGGCCTGCTGAACGCCCGCCGCGGGGGCGCCCCCCTGGACTCCTGCGATTTCGACCTCGATGTCGATCTAGATCTGGGCCCGTATGACGTCCCCAGAATGGAGCGGCGCGTCAACAGCTGGATCCGCCGCGCCCTGCGGCGCCAGGTTCGGGAGCTCCGGTTCCAAGTGTCCATCAAGCCTCGGCTTCCCTTCGTGCTGGAGGATCGGCCCCTCGCCTCTGACCACCTCACGAGGCTAGAGCTTGTGAGTGTCCAGGGCAACGCCGGCGTTCTTGATTTCTCGTGCTGCCCGGCGCTGGAGGATCTCAAGATGGAGGATTGCGATGTTCGGTCGGTGGAAATGCATTCCCCATCCTTGAAACATCTGAGGATCATATACTGCCTCTTTTATTCCAACTACCGCACTGGGATGTCTTTCCCGAGCCTCGTTTCATTTGATTTCGTTACCAATGCCGGAAGGGTTCCAATGCTTGAAAGTATGCCATCTTTAGAAATTGCAAAAGTTCGATTCGATCACTTCTATAATGATCGATGTGACAATGATCGCTTGGATGATTGTGGAGATGCTGCCTGTGATGGTTGTTATTACTATTACGGTCCTGATGATTACAACTGCGTGTTTCTCGAAGGCTTGACAGAAGCTACAGACTTGAAATTGTCAGCTTATCCTGATCTGGTATGCTCACAGCTGCCTTCCTGGTATTCAGTTTTGGAATTGTGTTGACATACATAGCTGTATTTCAGCTGTTCCTTTCAGATCATCATATTTCAACGAACATCCCCTGTAGTTTGTTGACCACTGTCATTCTATATCAGTACTGGAACTGTTTTGTTCTTCTGCAATTACTGATATTGTTTAACTAAAAATGAGATGCCTTGTGATTGATATATGTCATGTTAGTTTCAGAATGGCTTATGCAGCTTAGCAAACATAGCGATGTTTTATAGATTAAATTAGCACCTCTATAAAAGATATGAAGTCTAGACCTTTTTCATGCATATTAACCAGGATATGATTCCGGCTTGCATTTTAATTTTCCTTTTGCAGCGTTTTCATTATTTGACTTTATGCCCTTGCACTTTTCCTAGTATGTTTTCAACAGGGATTTGGAGTGGTGCCCTGCATTTAGCAAGTTAAAGACTTTGGTACTTGGCAAATGGTTTGTGTCTGCTGACTTCAGGGGACTAATTTGGTTCCTCCATCACGCACCTCTTCTGGAGAAACTTACTCTGAAGCCTTCAAAGGTACTTTTATTGTTCTTTACACGTGTCTAGTCTTTATTTTGGTTTTGTTTATTTGTTGAGTAAAGTATTCATTCGCTCCAGGTACGTAACAATTTAATGAAGACGGAGGGAAGTTACAAGCCATTGGAACAACCAATTGCAGCTAGCCATCTTCAGGTTGTTGAAATCATATGTAAAGATGTTGATGAGATAGTACTTCAAATTTTGAAGGTCTTGAATGCCAATGGCATACCACTAGAGAAAATCAGAATCCAATGTTCAGACGGTAAGTTATCTATGAACTGCCATGATTCTTTCTGCAGTTGTCAATTTATAAAACTAAGTATTACCAATAACCAAACTGGGGCTCCTGTGAATGTTCTCCTGCTTCTACTTATGCAAGCATTCATGTTGGCAATTTTCGTCCCATAAGCAGCCCATTTTGATTGAACATTGAAGTCGCTGCCATCAGACCCTTCTCACACAAATAAATATGTGAATATCTGATTATTTAGTGAAGCCATGCTTCTCCTTGAGAATATTGAATATGCTTCTTTGTGTCTCTTGAATGTGCTTTTCTATCCTGCCCTTTTACTTGCACCTTGCATGTGTGCCTATGTGTTGTTTTAGTTCTTATACAGAACCCATTGCTCCTTATGTTAGTTGAGACGATCTTATTTGTCAACGTACATATCAAATAAGTAAAATTTAAAAAAAATCATTCTATGGTATTTTGATGAGGTTGCAGGCTAGTCCAAGGGTGGCTCTTATTATTGTAGACAACTTTCCATACTTCATGAATTGCTTCTCATATCATTTTTTTTTCAAACAGTTAACAACAGCATTTCCTAGTAGAGTTAATTGAGCTTTTGTTTCCCCTTTTATTTTACAGGTTATAATTTTGTGTGTACTGATATAAACTCCAATTAGAAGTGAGAAGTACTGGGCTGCTGATGGCCCTAGTAGATCATCTAAAGGTAAAATGGAATATTTGGTAGCTGCCTTTTGTCCATAGCTTATAGGGACATCATGTCCTGTTACTCCAGTTTAGTTAACCTTGTTCCTAAACCTAGTTCCATCACATTTTGATGAGGGGCTTAAGCATTTCTACCCCTGTTTTGAAGCGTATTGGTGATTTTGCCCTCGTTTTTTTAACTGTGTGATTTTATCCCTGCGATTTCAAAACAAAGGAAGACTTTACCCCTGGTCTGTGAAGTCCTTGTAACGGTGTTAACTTTTTGGACAAAAGGACAACTTTGCCCATATGTTTTTACCCCTATTTTATTATGATATTTGTGTTTTACCCCAATTTTCAGATAGCAAGTTGACCATTTTTATATAGAATTTTTAGAAAAAATTGACAGCATTTCAACTGACAATCCACGAAAACAGAATTTAATATTACACAACTGATCCATATAAACCAGATCCATGTAACATGCCATAATAGTACTATATTAGATGCCAACACAGAGGTCCAAATAACATGACAAACACCAACATATACGTCTCTAAATGACATGTCAAATAAAAGTAGGAACTAGTAGTGAGTTCTCTAGGCAACTAGTAGTGAGCTACATATCAAGCATTGAAACCTAACAAAGTAGCAAGCCTCCCAGAAGTTGCTCCTCTTCTCCTCCTTCCTATTCCCCTTCCTGAAGCACTTGCACTTTATATGAAAAAAGCGAACTATGTTAGTAAAGAGAAGCAATGTTGCCTGCATCCCAAGCTAACTGGGTCACAGACACTGAACCTACGATCCAACCTTGGGTGTGGCAACATATGGTTCCCTTCAACTCTTAAACTCTGGCTAAGGTTGAATGACCGACGATGCAAATAGGATAAACTATCCTGCCTTCTCGATGATCCTTCAAAATCAGCATCTTGTTCCACAACTGGATCAGGGACAGGAGATGGTGTGCGATAACCACCATAGCAGCATGAACCAGGATTTTTATTCAATGTCCTCCTGACAAGGGATACTGACTTTTTGGCTGGGAGATTATCTTCAGTGCCAAGAACATTTCCAGCATTCAAAGGAACAATTTCTTGAAATCTGACAACAAGAAAAAGAAGTTAAACAGTTTCCAGCACTCAAGAGCATATCGTGAAGTTAAATTTTGTTTAAAATTTAGAAGCCCTTGGCTCTACACACCCTAAAACATAGATATCAGCTGGAGGTGAAGAATGGAGCCATTCATCAAGATTCAATCCCCTTGGGATGTACCGCCGACATTCCATGTGGAGGCAAAGATTCTACAAAAGCAGGGAAACAAAAGTGATCTTCGTCAGATTATTGCAGTAAAGTCAAACTGCAAGAACTACCTACAAGCACAAACAGGCAACTGACTGATTTTCAACACTGAAAATCTGAGATGCACACTACCATACTACTACTAGCACACAACAGATCAGTTGGTCCGCGCTTTCCATTTCGTTTCTAATCTCACAAGTCAAAGAAGCACATGGAGTGGAAAAAAAGAAACTACCTGTAATTCTCAACTTCTGTGAGGCGTGCCGCATCGACGCCAGGGGGATCGGGCGGGGTGGACGCGGCGCCTGGGGCACCTGCTGCGAACTGAGGCGCGAGCAGGGGGAGGAGAAGGGAGACGCGCAGCCTCGCCGCCGGGAAGAGTCTCCATCGGCAGCCAATGGTCGGGGCGGACCTGGCGCCTGGGGCATCCGCCGCCCCTAGAGCACCCGCCACGAACTGGGGCTCGAGCTGGGGGGAGAAGGGCGACGCGCTGCCTCGCCGCCGGGAGCCGCCTTGCCGCTGGGAAGACGCCGCCCTAACCCTAGGCTGCGAATCGGGACGGAAAAGTTTAGGAGGCCGACGCGTTTTGCTTCCAGTGCCTGTTCGTGCGATTCATGAAGGAGGGGCAGTGCTGTCATTCTGTCTACGTTTCTTTCCTATTTTTATTTTCTTTTTGCCATTTAATCCCACGAGTCCAAATGGTGTTACAAGTAGGGGTAAACGGCAGCTTCGTTTGAAAAAAACGAGGGCAAAATCACAAAGTTAAAAAGGAAGGGGTAAAATCATCATTGAGCTTTAGAATAGGGACAGAAACACCAAAACCCCAAAGGTAAAATGGAATATTTGGTAGCTGCCTTTTGTCCATCGCTTATAGGGACATCATGTCCTGTTACTCCAGTTTAGTTAACCTTGTTCCTAAACCTAGTTCCATCACATTTTGATGAGCGGCTTTGCAAGAACTTATCCTGTTGAAGTTGCATCATTGATCTTAATAATCTTTCTATATATCTTTCACTTTTGGAAACCTCACTTTGATGTACCAGGCTAAATGAAACGGATGCCGCTGAGTGTTTTACCATTCTGTCCTTCCACCTGGCACCTCCCTTACTTCCTCTCTTGGGCATTGACATTGGTCTGCAACAGCCGGATCGTGTCAACTTCCGCCCGCGGATGTCTTAAAGCCACCGATTAGATAGACAGACTTCTCTGCTGCTCTGCTTCAACTGGTGACAGCCTCCTCTCCTCCACCTTCTTCACTGGCAGGAAAAGGAGATGTGCCGTGATGATGCGTGTCATTTAGGAGGTATCTCTACTAAGGTAGAGAATACTAGTTTCCGTTGTGTTTCTACACGGGAGTGCCTAGTTAGTAGAAACCTCCTACCTAGTTGTTTATTATGCACTCATCAGTCATCAATTTGGGATATGTAGACCTATATGTAATGTAAGCTGATTCCTGTAAGATGTTGCCTGATCCGTGCTTTATATATGTGAATCGATGACAGTTAGTGCAAGATTTGAACATCCATCGAAGCAAGCAGTGTCCTGTAATAGCACTTGCAGACCAGTTTTGCTGGCCCTGCTCCAGACTCTTCTTGAGTACGAGTACTCCGTACGTGCAATCAAATCCAAATGTTCCCCTATACCAGGCTATAGTAGGACGAGAGAAAGGGGCAACACCATCTGAAGTCTAAATCTGAGTGCATGTTTGGAATACAGGAATTTCATAAGAATTGTACAGGAATCAGTTCATTTTCACAGAAAAAAAAAACATAACATAGGAACAGGCAAAAATCCCGCGTTCCAAGCACGGAAAAAAAGAAAGGAAGAAAGCGTTCGGATCGGTGGCTTCATGTTGCCTCGGACGTTTGACAAGGCAACAACGTTGTCGCGTTCGTTCAGCTGATAAGCCACCAATGAAAATACTGTGTTGGCTGATTTAGTTGTTATAGAAAAATACTACTATTTGTTGAAAAAAAAAAAAAAAGACGGCTTCTAAGTCGTACGAACAGGGCGATGAAGCGCTCCGCAAATCCAAATGTTCCCCTACCAGGCTAGTAGGACGAGGGAAGCCCTTCGTCTCATCTCCTCCCACCTCATCCGCCAATGCTGCGCCGCAACCCAACCCGCATCGAGCTCGGCTCCGCCGACCGCGACGAGCTCGAAGAGCACCTCCGCGCCGCCGCGGGGAGCACCCCAGCACCCACCACCCCCAACGACCCGGCCGGCTACACCACCCCGTCCCCAGTCGCAGGCCCGCACACCTCCAACTCCCTCCTCCACCTCCTCCACCCGCCGCCGGGCGCCGCGCCCTCCAAGGCCCAACGCATCGGCATCGGCCTCTCCACCCCGCCAGCCCCGGGCCCGAACCCCCGACCACCCCATCCTCCCCATGGAGGTTGAGATCAAGCTCCGCCTCCCCGACGCCGCGGCGCACCGCCGCCTGTCCGCGCACCTCGCGCCGCGCCTCCGCCGCACCCACGCACAGCGGAACCTCTTCTTCGACGCCGCCGCGTGCTCGCTCGCTGCCGCCTCCGCCGCGCTCCGCGTCCGCCTCTACGACGAGCGGCCCGACGACCGCTTCCCTTCCCGCGCCGTGCTCGCGCTCAAGCGCCGCCCGCGGATCGACGCCGGTGTCAGCCGCGTCGAGGAGGTCGAGGAGCCCATCGACCCCGCGCTCGCCCTCGCCTGCGCCGACGACCCCGCCTGCCTCGGCGAGATCGACTCCCCGATCGTCCGCCTCGTCGCCGACGAGTATGGCGTCGGCGGGGACGCCATTCCCTTCATCTGCCTCGGCGGCTTCAGTAACACACGCGCAGTCTACGAGCTCGAGGACGAGGGCGGCGGCCTCGTGCTGGAGCTCGACGAGACGCGGTTCGACTTCGGGACCAGCTACGAGCTCGAGTGCGAGACGGCGGAGCCTGACCGGGTCAAGGAGGTGCTGGAGCGCCTGCTCACCGTGGCCGGCGTGCCCTACGAGTACTCCCGGACCAACAAGTTCGCCTGCTTCCTGGCAGGGAAGCTGCTTCCTTGACCAGGAACCCCTTGTGCTCGGTATTCCCTTCGCTCGGCTCCATTGAGCTGCATTTAACAACTTGAATGTCAGTGGCTCATTGATTAATAGCGAAATAAGTGTGGCTTCTCATATTTGGTGTATGCTTTGGTTTTGTGGCAAATGAGCTTAATCCTGAGCCTCATCAAATTCGATTTCTCCCAAATCCTTGGGGGCAACTCATCTAGTGTAGTGTACTAACTTGGCATTTGAGTACAAGAGCAGCTGTTAAGCCATGCCACCACCTCTGTAACTCCATTCTGTAGCTCATAATTGTTACCTTGTGAGGGTCAATTTACATAGAGTAGCTTTATAAGCAACACTATGCTGATCCGAGACAGATAATTATGGACCGAGACAGTTGTAGTGCAGTATAAAAGTTGAGGCTACAACCGCAAGCAAGCAAAGTTTGTTAATACACATATCCTGTTCTTCAGGTTTCAGTATGATGGCATGTTGGAGATGCTGACATTAGGAATTTAGGGTTCATGGGTTACCAAGGGAAAATGGATACAATAAACAATATATTGCATAATTGGATTTCAATTTTCAAACATCGATGGCACATAAAATCTACATGTGAATCCATTTTCAAGAAAGTGAACATCCGCTAACAGTTCAGCAATAGTTTGGAAACTAAAAATCAAGGGGCACAGCCCTGCTCGCCACCTTTGTGTTGGCTAGTGGTGATTTTGTGTGGGGCTGAAGTGCTTTATCATTTAATGAAGAAACAATGTATAAGTTTTGTTGTGTGTTGAATGGACTGCTGACTGCTCAGACCATCTGAAAGAAATAGGGGCATGCTTTTGATGAGTGAGTAGTGGTACCCTCGTAATTTAAGTCTTTTCTTTTGTCAAGTCAACAGAAACAAGGTACGAGCATAAGCTTAAATATATTTCATCAAATATTCTTCAAGAAAGATTATGTTTTTCAGCGTGAGAAACATGTTTAAGCGAACATGAGGCAGTGCTGATCAATTGATATGTGCCTAATTTAAGATCTACCTCAAAAATAACTTTAAAATATCATGGTAAGCAAGTTTTACCTTGGGTCTCTGTGTTAAGTTCCCTTCTGGATAATAACATCACAAAAAGATTATCAAGAAGCATGGTATACCTTTTGCTGTTCTGTTTTGTTCCCTTCTGATATGTTCTGTTCTGTTCCCTTGTGAATAATAAAGTGAGCTCTGTTGCTTTTGATAACACCAATTTTTAAAATTTTGGGCAAAAACTATGCCTTCCAATTGCCCATATCACGATTATATAGAGTTTTGTGGTAACTGTTCAGATAATGCATTGTGGATAATGGATTATATAGAGTTCTATGGTAACTGAAGAAGTGTTCAGATAATGCATTGTGGATAATGGATTGTGGCTGAAAAATGAAACCTGGAGTATTTGTACTAACTGGCTATTGATTCTGGGGTAACCAAGGTTTTGTTTAGTTCCTCCTAAAAGTTTACACCCTATCTCATCGAATCGAATGTTTGACATATACATGGAGTATTAAATATAAACTAAAAAAATAACTAATTGTACAGATTGTGACTACTTTACGAGATGAATTTTTAAGCCTAATTAGTCTATGATTTGACAATAAAGTGCTACAATAGTACATGTGTTAATGATGGATTAATCAGGCTTAATAAATTCGTCTCGCGGTTTACCGATAGATTCTGTAATTTGTTTCTTTATTAGTATCCAAACACCTCATACGACATCTCATGTGACACCCTAAAACTTTACACCCTAGAACTAAATAGGGCCTTAGTTCCTCCCCTAAAGTTTAGTCCCTATCATATCGGATGTTTGGATACATGCATGGAGTATTAAATATAGACTAAAAAATAACTAATTGCACAGATTGTGACTTATTTGCGAAACGAATTTTTTAAGCCTAATTAGTCCATGATTTGGCAATGTGGTGCTACAGTAAACATGCTTTTAATAATGGATTAATTAGTCTTAATAAATTCGTCTTGCGGATTACCGAGGATTTCTGTAATTTGTTTTATTATTACTATCCGAATACTCCCATATGACAATCCGATATGACACCTGATATGACACTCATAAACTTTAGCCCCTAAATTTAAACACCACCTAAATGAGCATCTTCAGATATTGCATTGCTAAGGATGTGACGAACGCATCGACGTTTCATCTCTATTAACAAGCAGGCATTGATACTGGAAAAAAATGTCAAGATCTCCATCTAAATGGAACGGTGTGGGATCTTATTCTAGAGATCATTGGTACTGTTGACACAAAAATATGGTGATGTGATCAACACACAGCAAGCCGGATGATCTTGACGAAATGAACCCGAAGATCTGCTTAGCTTCAACACAAGAACGGTCGGTTTCAGGAACAAAGACATGCACAATCGACTGTTTATACATCATCGGCTCCTGGTTATGTATAAGAAAACTAGCAATAAAGCAATATAAGAAAATATCATCGGCTAAATAGAACATGATCAGTATAAAACGTTGAGCCGATAAGTTTGATGAAAAGAGTATAACACACGCACAATTGACTGTTTATCATAAATGAATCCATAAACAGTCTGAATCTAATTTATTATCATCAATATTGAGGTTCGACCAGATCGATGCAGTTATAATAATGATAACAAACTAAAGCCAAAGAATTTATAAAATTATCTATATGTCAACAGGTTCATAAAACATGCTATATGTGTAAGAGCATAGGCAATCGGCGAAAATAGCCGATGCAGGCCTAGCAAACAAACATAGTACATATCTCGATTATGAACAAAACCAATAATCGATAATTTCTAATCTAAAGCCTTACCAATGAGGTTCGATCGGATCGATGCAGCTATGATAGTTTTATTATATTAGATCTCATTAACTAGTGAGTTTATTCAAGATTAAAACATATCTTTAGATGCATAATATGTTTGATTGGAATAGAGATAAAACAGCCGATCTAGCGGAATTAAGTCATCAATTATGAGATTTAAAGCGTGACCAGATCAAAGAACGACCAATTAAGATGATATGATGTCGATCTATCTCTATCTCAATCAGGTGATTTGTTATAATTAATAAAACAT